CTGGCTCTTTAGCAATAACACACCTCACCTAGCTTCTTTCCGCATCAGATTGAGAATAATCATTCCCATAAATTACTGGCCCTTCATAATGCTTTGGTCCTGCAAAAGCGACATGACTGAATGGCATAACTATACATCGGCGACACCAACAACTCGGGAAATCCTTGTAAACCAACATCTCTAAAGGGATGAGATTGTTTATCGGAGCAAATCTAGTGTCAAAGCCCCAACTTCTATGCTTACTTCAGTTTGGAATTAAATCTTTGCTCGACTTTCAGCTTTAAAACTTTCCAGTGATTACTTTAAATTTTATGGACAACGTAACCAGTTCATTACAAATGTCGGAAGTTCATAGCGTCACAGCTAAGTCTATAATTTGTAGCTTAACTAATAAACAATGGGCAAAGGTGTTGAAAAAAAACTGGTTTTAGTAAGTAGTGCTTAATAACGATAAGGTAAGAAGGAGATTTCGTTAGAAATCTAGTTTTCGAAAAAACAGGTTTTTTCATATGATTTTAGCACACTTCAACAGCACTCGCACTTTCATATGTTGATTTTGGAACACACGTTCAACACATCCCTTTGAAAAGACTGACAGAAGCAACACTTTTCGGATACTGTAAGGCATAGAATCGGCTTTTCACACGAATCCTAAGTTCTATTCAGTTTCTCAACGGCTATTTGACGTAATTCGAGATATGCTTTTAACAGCATCGAGGAACCAACTATCTCACACGCAGTAACCCACCGGTTTTTCTTCATTACCGTAGAAATTTGTTTCCATCATAGTTGGCCCAGAATCGTTTGCCATGGGTCCATGAGTCATGGTAGGTTGGGCACGATTCCCATCTTCCTCCTCTGATTCCTCATCCATCTCACCTCCAACCAATGACAGTAGCATATTCTTCTGCTTGGCATTCACTCCACCCTTCTCTGGCACATACCACAGGGCCGGCTCTGAAGGGGCGTCCGGTCGAGGTGCCTTTTTTGTCTTCAACACCGAATTTGCGGCGATAGGACCCTTCGCACCATCTGAGGGCACTGCTGAGTCTGGCTTGCTCAATTCCGTAATCAAGTCGTAGGCTGCTTTCAAACGGTCATTCAGATCGAGAACCTACATTAATTAATGACCGCGGTAAAATAACTGCTTAACAAGAAGTCCCTTCTGAGTGACGAGCCCAAACATAAAAGCAATTTTCTCGTTGACGAGATATGAAACGCAAAAAAGGGTAAAAATAGAAGCTTTTGTGCATAAAAAATCACAATGTCTGGGAGACATTCTAAATATTGTCGAAAACACGCGCCTTGAGAAAGATTCGATAAATAGAGGAATAAGCTTTCTCTTTGTGATTTTTTGCCCAATTTTATTCCACCTTAGATAATCAGTCAAACTACAACTTACCTTTAGATTACGATCCTCCCAGCTTCTTCGAATGTTGGCTAACATCGAGTTGCCTTCAGCAGAAGCCGGGGCACCAGCAGTGCCATCATGGGCAGTACGCTGTCGGTGAAGTGGTACGATTGTTTCTTTTACGCCTACACCACTCGACGAGTTCAACGATATTCCTGGTGGTGGCATTGGTAGTTCATATTTACTCTTGTCATCGCAATTCACTAGTTTGTTGAAGTCCTCCAACTCACGATACAACTGCTGTGTGTCACGGATTAATTGGACGCAGGCTTTATCCTTGACATGATAATAGTCTGAGAAGAAAAACAAACCAGAAAGCCTGATGTTACTTTTTTTCTGTTTTAGTGTGCACCGCAGTACCGCAGACAACAACTTGATCCATACAAATTTTATTTTTTGACACTGCTTTCTAGTGGATGACTCTGAATGCAAGTGCAGCGTGGACAATAAAGCCATGTTCAGACAAAGCATGGATTTATAATTCCAGGGAGAAGTGCGTAGTTATAAAACGGTCGCAGTGAACATATCCATCTTTGACTCTTTGAAACTAGTCCAGTTACTGATCGAAGATGCAAAAAAATTGACACATTAACCGACTTATTTCCCATTTCCTTCCAAAGTACCGAACTGACTGTTCCCAAATATTTAAAGAGCTGGCATCTCATCGCTGCTTTTAGTAGGGCCTTTGAAGGAAGTAATCTTCGCAAAGGCACGCTCACCAGCTGCAGAGGATTTAAGTCCAATGCCTGCCTTAAAGTCCTGAAGACACTTGATTGTGTTGCTCTTTTCCGTTAGCTCTGCATCCTTCGCTTTCAATTCGGCCTCCAAAATTCGCACCTTTTCGTCTAGACTGGTTTCTCCAGACTGTTTTGCCACGTTACTTGTTTTGCCAATGCCCAAGGAAACCTTCCTGTGTGTGTCCTCCTTCTAGAAGATCGAGAAGGAGGACAATTGCAAAGGGGCGAAAAGTAAATTGCAATAATGTGGAATCAAATTTAATTGTCGTACATATCGTCCTGGATCCCATGTATAACACCAAAAACCCTCCAGCATGCAACATTTAACATTCAGACAGCAGCTAGGTTTAGGATGTACTGCAGTACACTGTTACATTCGCTATTAATGCATGAGTTTGATTGATATTTAGTGGAGAAATTGAAAATAGCTATCAAGGGGATGCCAGATATGCTTTTGACTGATTTTACTACAATTTTGAAAACGGAGGGCAAAATAAAAGCTATCTCGTTTGTATTCGACACACAGTTGGCAAAAGTCCATGACAAAAAGTATTTGTAAGGTAATGAACCAGATAAAAGTTGCAACTATTTCTAGATAATCTATAATGGAAGATGGCATAGTTTTTATCCCTAAAAAGGCATCAAATATTATTAAGAAATTTAATTATCTGAAAGTAGTGTAACTTTAAACATAGGCATTCAAAGAGCGCAAAAAATGCGTCATACATTGGAATATCGCAAGGAAAGTGACTATGCCTTTATCCTCGGAGAGGAAACTAGATCATAATTCCCAACAATGCATTTAAAAGATGAAGACTTATATATACACTTACCTGTTGAGTGCTAGGATTTTTAAAATACTTCCCTAGGCCCTTCATAGCCTGAGTCGCCTTGTCTACCGACCGATGCAGAGATGGTAGTGATTAGCTGAAATCAGCTTGCGAGGCCTCGCTTATATACGTATGTATATACAGAGTGATAAGAACTTGGATCTTGAAACACCCACCAGTGTAGATGAGTCGACCACAGACAGCGGCAGGATCCAATCGTCTCAAGCCAAGTCATGTGTAAATGCACTGTCGTGGTGGTGATTTGCGCGTTTCTGTAGTTGTTCATGCAGCACCAACCGCACATTTAACGATACTTTATGGGTTAGGTGAAGGAGAGGCTATGACAAGCAAAGTACGACTAATAGATTAGCACAGTATTTAATTCTGGAAATGGTCGATCGCAGCTCCCCGCGTGATGACCATAGCCATATGAAATGGCTTTTCTGTATTAACACATACGCAGGTAGTTGGAATAAAGGAGTTTAAAATCGATGGAAGTTCATAGCATAGCTATGGACAAGTAACCGTATACATCCAAAGTTTATCAGCTGGCCTAGGTACCTCCAACTTTGTATGCAATTAGCCTCATCCATGGGATCACTCAACGCTTCTCTAAGAGCTGAAATTTCCGAGACAAACTGGACAGTCCAAAACCTCTTAAACTCACATCAATCTTCATCTCGGGACGTTTCTTATCTTGAGACACACACAAATGCCATTTTACGCTTGAGATATGTGAATTTCTCTTTTCCTATTTGCGAAATTGATAGCATCGTCTTTTGAACGAGCAGTACGAAATTTAATAAAAGTCAGTTGAGCTAACCGGCTCTGAAGACGCAGTGGGACTACTCACTCGAAAAGAAACTTTGCCATCTGCACAAAGATGAAGCAATGCCAGAATGCTATGGCAAGGAGATACAAACTTCGGAGAGGGAATTGCTCTGTTAAAATATTAAACTTCTTTCAATAAAACTGTCGATCGGAAGGTGGAATCCAACGTGGGGCAATGAATGGGATTGCAGTAGAGGTACCTTACGAGCTGTTATCAGTAAAACATGCCTTTCACACCAACCACTTTAGTAGTAACATTTGGCTGAAAACAACACACACGGAGAAAATTTTAGCAAGAACCTGTTCAAGGTCATCATCGATTCGCGAAGCTGTAATTCAGCACAATTGGTGGTAATTTTTTTAGCAACCGAGAATTGTGACTTAGTCCTCCAGAACAGGTTCCTAAAGCTTTAACCTTGGAAGTAAGTGTCTTTCCTATGCAATGCTTACCCTCGGTAAGCATGACGAAATCAGGGTTATCATTTACTATTTGCCGAAATACTAGCCCAACTCTGAGGGCTTGATAAAGCAGTAAAGGCGCACAAGAGAGCTCATTGGGTAATAGTGCTATTAAAATGCCTTGACATTCAAATGACAAGCGGAACGATGAGAACTGACAAGTCAATGTTATAAAATCACAGCTTTTCCCAGCTTCCAACACTTCTTTACTCTCCAATCAATTCAATAGGAGCTAGCAGCCAAGGTCATTTGTGGTGTCCTTCGGCACTAAAGAGGATGTGTCTTAATTTCCTCTCTTATCTGGGTTCTAGTCCAAGTGCCTCAAATATTTGCACCAATTCTTTCTGACTCAGCAACAATCAGTTGTTATGGGCGCTCCAATGACTCACTCACAAGCAAATGTGGGAGAGCATTTGATAAGCATGATAATTTCGAGATTCATACCTTGATACCAAAACAACTCATCGACCTGCGTTCTCAATTTTATGTGGAGAAACCCACTTCGAGTGCCTACTTATACCAAACGCCTTTGATATTCTGCAACGAGACATCAACATTGAGACGGACAACACCAAGAAATGGGTAATTACCTAATTAATAATTAATTGAATAAGAGCTGAAGATTTGAGCGGGCGGTAGTTCCTCCGAAAATTTGTTTACAAACGATAATTCACGAAACGAAAATAGGCATTTCTTGAATTACAAATGACCAAGTGGAAAAATTGCGATTCAGTGTCAGGCAAAACCACCGTCAAGTTGGTAATTAATATGCGCATGAGAGTTGGTCACATGCTTGCCACTTGGATTATATTTTGTAATGCAGTTAGTCTGAACGCTTAAAATTTATGACGCGTTCCGACAGCTATGAAAATGAAGCATGAACTGAAGAAGGGTGACCCTCTCTCGAACGGACGCAGGCTTTTGAATGAACTATCGTGAAGAAAACTGCTGATTATACATGGAACGGCATCAGGGCTATCAAAGAAAGCAAAAGTTTCAGAGATCACCACACGTTGTACTTACGTAAAGGAAAAATGCTTAAATAACACTATAACTATGGAATGAATAACTTACACGACTAGTCTGACTTCAATCATACACCGCAACAACTACCTACCGGTAAACATTAACTTTGTCGAGACACCCTTCTTAGCCTAGAGTTAATTTTCCAGGCTCCAGCCTTTTGTATAAATTCTCTGTAATGTAGATACAGCAGCAACGTTGATTGGTTTGTTCACCCAAGCATGAGCGCAAATCAAAGAGTAATCAAGTTTCTAAAAAATGGCCTCTTTTCACGATTCTTTACCAGATTTAGTGTTAAACAAATAATAACAGTAATTTATGCCACTAATACGACGAACTACACAAATTAAGTGAATTTTGATCTACAACTTTGGGGCGCAATCGAAGTCAAAATCATAATTACAAAAGGCTAAGGTAAAAAGAGGTGAAAAGGCACTGTAATTAAGAGGCACTAGTGTCGGCATCTGGTTTCTTCAGCATCTTCATTGTCGATTTGCTCATGAAGTAGGGCTTCTCCGCAGTTCCATCGTTGCGTTCCAGATCTTCGCCTGCAAGTTTGCCACCAAAATGTCTTTGTTAACTACGAAAAATGCGGTTTCAAAGTTCACATTTCAACACCACCTTATACCCTGCCTCTTCATTAGTCACTGACAAAGCTACTCCCAGACTCACATGCTCTCGGTTTTTTAGGGCCAGAGGACGTAATTGTAAGGAATGACATGGAAGCTTACAACTTCATGTAGGTAGCCCAAGATCCGAGATGCAAACCTCCAGACCAAAAGACACCACTATCAAGCCGATGTGTGGGCATTACTAAGGTTGCAATCAAGGTGGCATACACAACAAGCAGAACGATGTGGAATCAGAAGCCCTACTACCTTGAGCAATTGAAAGGACACTTACAAACACAGATAAAGATCGTATCCACACCCATCTCGTACACTGAGAAGAAAGCCTTAGCAACCAGGAATGAACCGATCGCAATAACCTATAGAACGCAAATTCTCGTTAATTAACGTCACAGCGACAGGAATAAACTATACAAATAATACTTAATCACTTAACAGCCCAAGATTGTTATTAAAAATATTCTCAGCACAACTGCAGTGATATGTCATTGTTTAGCCAACATGTCTAATTGACTGAGCACTCCACTTTTTGCCGATTTTAGGCCTGACAATAGACCCCCAGCTCTTTCTTCCATATTGCATGTGTTTATCGCATGTGTTTATCCCTAAGTTGGGGATTTAACTTAGATTGCATTCGCCTATGGTTCAGCATTACTCAAATACGCATGAATTTAGAAGCAAAGTCCCCAATAATGAAGGTGTTCCATGAACTCCAAATGACGAAGGCTTTAAGGTAGTGCCGTTTTTCGATTCAATGCCAAAGAACAAGAGGTAATTAGAGAGCCCATGAGAGGTTCGCTCATTTAGTCAAAAAGTATCGAAAACAATTTGGAACCAATTCAACGAGTAAGATTTTCTGCGAAACCATTTGATACCATGTCAATACTGCATACAAAAAGAAAGGGGTCTCAACTCACCAAAATGGGCACAAATATGTAATTCAATTGGAGTTTTTGCTCCGGCATAATGCTCAGTCTATCGCCGAAAATTCCACTCAGGTAGAAATAGGCAACGCAAGCTAGGGATGGCAAGAAACAGGAGGAAGTGCGGTGAAATGAGAATTCAATTATTTACATCCATGTAAATTGAGGTCGCTGACGATCAAAATTTAACGGTCGTGTGACCTAATAAGTTCGTTTTAGTTTATTCAAAGAAAAATGTACGAAACCCCTTAAATGTTTTATCCGATTAAATGATCATCAGTGGAGGCCATCGTCGACCCGTTCCTCATGACTCCCCAAAGCACTTTGGATGCTAAAAGAAACGGACCTCTATCCCAGACCACTCTTGTTGTCGCCTACTTTCCATTCAACATTTATACACCTGAGTACGAAAGTATAAAGTGATATGAATGACCTGGAAGCATATTGATAAAGGAGACATGAAGAGAGCCTTCTACGCCCTCAAGACTGAGTTCATTTTGACTCACAAGGCAGAAAAGCAATAAAATGCGGCTAGAACTCAAGCAAGATTACTAAAGAAGAGAATAAGGGAAGCTGCAGGAACCAGTCTACGAAAATTAGCGATTTATAGGGTATGCAAATGACCCCACGTAGTCATTTTTAATTCAGAAATAATAAAGAAGGAAAACTGACTATTGACGTACATGCAGCTGCGCTAACAGCTAGTTTTCCCACAATCAGGATATAATCCGTGATCTTTTCAACAACGAAGACTCTAAAATAGCGAAAAATGCAACAGGTTTAGCTAGAGATGAACTAGTTAAAGCCACCAATTCATCTTCCATTCCATTTAAAAGTTTCCCAAATTGCTGCCAGCGTGGGACTGAAGCACCTCCATTAATGTTGGCACGCGATGGGTTTTCAAGGTACTTGTGAGTTTTTTGAAACACAGAAACGATAAATGATGATGCAACCTTTCACAAAGCTAATGCAACAGGCACGCAGTAGAACATGTTATTAATGACAAATGTAACAAATTCGGATAGAAGCAACGAAAAAGGACAAAATTTTAAAATACAATAGCCTACGAGGAAACTTGAAACGAGACAAATATATTGGTGAGTTGGATGGGCCACATAAGCAGTGCCATCGGAACAAATGATGATGAGTTTGACACATTTGGCGCTCAAAAATATCGAAGTGTTTGAAGCCAATTCGAAGAGGAAGGAGAGTCGATGAACGAGCTTTATTGGTGATTCAACTTATACATTTCTTTACCTTAGAAATACCATTTCAGCTATTCCATCTTTGGTATGAATTGATGATCGTGATGTCCAATATAAGTCCTTACCTACCCCCAACTTCTTCATTGCGTAGTCATTTTCATTCGTAACTTCGGTGAAGATAACGCCGTCTTACTCTCAATATTTTCAAGTAATTCTACTCATTCAAATGATTTCCATGGTGGCACAACTCACACACCTCTTCACTCAATTTCAAGCATCGATGATTCGATTGAAATCTACGCTTCGATGGCATTGCAAACTTCAGTTGGTGAAACTCTGTTTAGGCACATAGGAAACACTTCCCACAATTGTCTGGAGTCAATGACCACTTTGAGCCCAATCGAATGATAAGACACAAGCAAGGCTCCTAGTTCGTTTCACGTGAAGTGTGCGTCAGTATGAATTTGACAAAACAAAAAGTATTCCTAGTTTAATTCAAAAAGCCGCGTTTTCATTACTATGAGCAAACGTTGTTGTCAGTGAAAAGATCCAATCATCAAGAAAGTCCATGCTAATCCTTATGAATGTGCAAATTCAAGTGTGATTTTCAAACTTCAAAGATCTTTTGTCTTCTACAATAAAGGCAATAAACGACTTGGGCAGAATGGTTACCGTCCTCTCAATAGAATTAAACTAAATCAAGGTCCCTTTATGATTCGAAAGCACTTCCGTTTTTCCTCCTCCCATTTCGATAAGTGAAACTGATGTCAAAGCTATTGAAGTTTGGAGCAGACTGTTGCTCCCCCAAACACTCGCTCATCCGCTACACGTAACCCATCTATGCGCCAGCCATTCTACCAATTTGTGTGAAGTGCTAAAAAATTGTTGGGATGATAATCGTTTGGAAGAAGTATATATCAAGTTTGGATGCTACGGAAACTCCAAAAACACGCAAGACTTACCTGACCACATTCCGCAGAATGAGTTGAAACGCATCCTTTGCAGAATGGCAAAAGCCATGACCATAGATCGCAATCTAATTAGGACGAAAAACGAAGCAACGTAGAGCAAACATGGACTCAAAAGAGGGTAATGACTTCAAAAAAGGAGTAACTTCAGCAAAAAACCCCACGCTTTTATACCGTGTGCACATTGAGATTTCTTAATGCAATCGGATCCATGTATAAAACATGAATAAAGAAAATTAGATTCCATAAAACGAAGAAGAAAAAGCAACTATAACGCTTGAATGCTAGAATGATTAACGAGGATCCTGGAGAAGCCAGTAAGACTCCTGAATTCAATAAGCAAAATTACCGCAGATTGACAGAACAAGTACAGTGACCAAATCCCATTGCATAAGGGTACGAAAAAAGGAATAGAAATGATTGTTGAAAGGGTACATATCACGTTAAGGGTGAGAAGATTAACGTACTATTCGGCGTACTGCCCCGATAGTAGACGATAAAGAACAGTTAACTCTTCAATGTTGCTAAGTGAAGATACTATAACTTTAAAGCTGAGACGAGGAAAATTTTTCAATTGTTTCAGAGACAATTTGTTTCTTAGGCAGTTAATGCAATCACTAAAATTACCCTCTAGTAAATCTTAGAGCATTAGGTGCAATCAGGTCCGCGATGTTTTCGCAGATGCGGTTTTTAAAGCCTCATATTAAACTGACATTGATTCCGTAAGACATAATTATTCTCACAGATTTGAGAGGAAAGAGTGCTGCACGCTACCAGACTAGCATTTGGTGAAAACACAGCACGCGATCTATTGTCGGAAAACGTGATTTAATTATGTCTGAAAATGCTGTAAAACTAAATTACGTCGTGCGATGTTGTGAGCCTGACGCTTAATCGCTCGACCGGAGATGCCGTTGAGGCAGCACACTGAGGAGTCAGGAGACAAAGGCTTCAATTAAGGTATCTTTATATTCCGGCGATTATGGGTCAAGGTAGAAGAACGATGCATACGGACGCAACAGCGGGTGGACTACCAACGGCGTAGGGTGGTTACAGTTCGACTTGATCTTACATCGATTATGAGTTGAATGCCTGATTGCGATATTAACCCGGCAAGAGAAATGAAGAGGAGTAGAAATAATCAAACTTAGCCGCAAAAATGAAGCACATACAGAGCAAAAAAGAGATGTGTTCCAAAGTGGCGAATATTCGTGGTAATAAAACTACAAGAAGTCTCATCTTTTGGTAAAATCAACAGTGCTGCCAAGCGCGACCTTAAGCACCTCTAGTGGAGAGACTCCTCCAAATATCCCTCGCCTAAAGGCTGTAATTCAAATTTACTAATTAACTAAGATCTGCACAAATGGCGAACTCTTCATGTGAATACAAATCTATGACAAAAGAATGGAAGTCCTCACAACTTTTGCTGAACTGCAAAAGTACTAATAGCCGTTGCTCCAGAATAGCTTTACATCGCCTTATTCGAGCATTCAAATGTATGCGCAAAATACTAACCTGCTTACCGCAACTATAGTAGGAAGTTTTAACTAGTTAAAACAGGATGTTTGATCGTTTCAATAAGAAGAAACTCCGTTACCGAAAACTGTTACAAGTACCCGATCTCCAATTTGTTGTTCTTAACTCAATACATGTAGTTCAATCACTATTTGATGTGACCGGATAGCACAAGAGCACACTAGAGGATCAAGCAACGAAAAAGTGCGTACCATCAGAGGTCCGACTAAAACGCACCATTATGTATGCATTCTTATTAAGAAAACGCAAGAATTTTTCCAGGCACCAGAAGTAACAGCAGAGACATCGAAGGAAGAATTTGGCGAGTTCGTTGTTGGCAGTTTTGAGTCGTCGTTCAATACGGAGAAGACAGGCACGCAGGAACCAGAATATTGTGATAAGAATAGAGCCGAGAGCCAGAGAACCGGTGTTGTACATCAGAGCACTGCTGCATGTAGTGAATAGTAGCCAGAATCCACAGCAGCCTACTACAGAATGACGACGGCGCTGGCGTTGAGAATTGAAGTAAAAGGTGGCAAAGGTGCCCGCTAGGGTTATCTGATCCAGGGCAATGAAGAAGTTAATAAGCCAGATGCACATGATGAAATTGTACATCTGCAACCAGGGTGTATATCTGAAGAAGTTGATGCGAAAAAGACAGAGAATTAACGAATGCGTCGGTGTCTTACGCAAAATATTCAAGTCAAACTACTTCAAATCTAAAAGTCTAAAGAAGAATGCTGGAGGGCGGTAATTACCATTCAGTAACCGGGCCCTTACTAACTCCTCGTCCATAAAGTTGCTAATCCAGACACAACTTCTTGAGATGGGAGGCACAGAAAGCTTTGACCCTTATCCATAAAGGAAGGCTTCGGTCAATCAAGCTTGTCCACTTGAATGGTGGAAACATTTGAGAACCAAAATCCAGATAAAGCATCTGAGTTCACACCTTGTATTTATTTTCCAACCATTAACTATATCCACCATGTATGAGGCAATATGTCTTCCTTCAACTTATCCCAATGTGAGTGCATTTATCAATCCTATGAGGTAGGAAATCCTCCGATGTGCCTTAGAACCCAGAACAAACCCACTTCCAAAGACGAAGTTTTCCTGCACGACAAGAAGTTGCGCAACCGCAATTTCTATCTAACATTATACTAGTAGACACCACATGCTAGACAATCGTGTTTCTAGCCTATCATAAACGCAAATACAAAAAAGGCATAAAATTACGATTATCTAGGAGTTGTAAATTAATGTAATTCATGTCTTAGAAGTGTAAGTAAAATAATGAGTGGACTATCTAATTATTAACGGTGATTTTTGTATCCAAATAACACTGTAACATAGAGGTACAAAGTCCATTCCATGTCACAACGCATCCAGATTCTCAGACAGCCAATAACTTAAAACTCGCGGCGTACGCTTTTAGCGTATGCAAATGAGAAAACAACAAAATGGTAGAATGAGACCCCTATTCTTTTGCTTTTTGGCACGCATTCAAATGGTACCTACTTTGGCTAGGCGCATAACTTCAGTATCCGATTTTTGTATAACTGCCGGCATTTTTCTCCATTGCTACTGTAATATGTTAGTAGCGAAACGTGCTACCTTAACATCGAAAATAGGAGACTTCTAAACGTAAGTGGTTCCACATCAAATTAAAACATTTTAAACCAACTCTGAACGATGCGCTACTAAAGGACCCCTTTTCAAGTGAATGAGCGACTCCAGTTCTATACAGAAAAGCTTAAATTGCCTCAACCTCAAAGGCATGTAGGGCTTTTGTTCTATAACCATGTACACGATCACGTATTCCACGGGTCACCACAGGCCATAGAAAGTTAATCCAGCGTCCAATACAGAAAGCAATCCAAATTCCACCAATTTCAAGTGCTTTATACATGTACTAAACGATTCGCTACTATAAGAATAACAATCTGCTTCAGATATGACTAAGGTCGAAAACATTTGCATTTACATGTGAATGGGGAAATGGAAAAATACAAATTGCATTCGATATATGGAGAAACATTGATCAGTCTAAGCTTAGTGAAAATGCGACAACCAACCTCCCCAAGCAGTTTCTAAACAAAAGGCTTTAAAAATTTTATTAAACTTTCTCAGTAAACGAAGAACTATTGGAGGCCACAATGCCTTGATAGCTACAATTCATTGCAAACGACCATTACTTTATGGCAATCAACATTTACACGTTGCCACTCTCAAACGAATAATATCAAGCATCCAATTTATTACTTTACACACAATCAATCTAACACCAGAGAGACTTGTAGCAATTACCGACCCGTCAAGTAATGGTGACATCGAACACAGATTAGCAAATCGAAGCTTTGCATGACATGCAAAAATAGTTCAAATTTTGAAAAAAAGATTGTTCATGGGAGCAAATTTCTTAAGATATAGTGCCGAACGACCTATAGACTGTAAAAGGAATTGGCATAGCGTTCATCTAAATGATTCCTTACAGTTCGACCTAAAACTGATGGGAAAAAAATATGCGAATCGATAAGCTTGCCGTTGCACGAGTACTTACGCTGTTGTAATGTGTTTAACAAAGAGACAAATCTGACCCTCTGTATCGTTGCCCTATGGAAAAAACAAACACAACGATTATTTTGAATAGCGGAGACAAACACGGGTTAGTTCCACGCCATCAAAGGCCGGCTTACGGTAGGGTCACATTTCATTGAACTGTTAAACGCCCAAGCAGTCCACTCCTCTGAGTTTTCGCTCCTCAGTCCAACTGTAGAGTTGGCATAGTGGATACCCTCACTAATTGCAATGGAGCGGAGGTTTAGGTCCACAAAAATCCACAACGCTATCGTACCGGAGATAAGGATGAACGGGATTATAGGCCAGAATAGGGTCACAGGCAGGTATCCAATTGCTCTGGAGTAATAATGAAAACGTGGTGACTCAATGCAATTGAGTAGTAGACGATTATTAGAAGAACTTCACTCAAAACAAAAGAGGGTGCATGAATCATGATCAGGGCAGTAAACTCAAACTTGCTTGCTTGCTTCGGCGATAACGTGGTAAGCTAGGACGATCCTCCCACGGATAGAAATTATGATTAGTAGAACGATCACTAGGACTGATCCGGAGATGATGCCTATCAGTAGAGAAGAGAACTCTAGGAGAGGCAACCATTGAAGCAATTTTCGGCAAGTCACAAAAGAAATGCAACCCACCTAGGACAAGCCAAGTGATGGAATAACGGAAGTAAGCCGTTATGTCAAGGGTGAGGAAGAAGGGTGGCGGATCTGAGGGGAGGTTTTTGACCTGTACATAGCGCCAGAAGCAAAATCCTGTTGCTGAAATAAAAAGGATAAGTGTTGCTCAGGGATAACTGAAGATGTGATATCGCGATAACGCATTAAAAAAATGTGCAATCATGCGCAAAGATGGATCCTCCTACAGTGAATCGAGTAGTATCAGAGAAGATGTTTCGACTGCAGCCAAGATATCAGAATACATAAATCAGAAAGAAATAATAACTCCAATTTCCAATGAACCGTTTAGTTTGTGGCTGAATTTCTCGCAAACCCACAAGTCGAATAGAGTGAATTACATTCCATTTTTAACTATAATCGGGAAAAATTGCCGAAAGTAGGTAGTTATCGAATGCGTCGCTGACGCAATAAACACAGTATCTAGATGGTAGTTTGAGAGAAGGCGTTTAAACAGACAACTGTAATGGAGAAATAGGGCCAAGCAGGAAACCCCATCTAAAAAAGCAAAGTATAATTGGACAACGATGTCGGTAAAGATAGTTAATTTGATTATGAGTATGACTGAACAATAGGGAGATATAGGTGAGTGCGCAGAGGCCAAGTAGCAGACTACCAGACCACCTGAGTCATCTTACCGTCTCAGGCAAGAATTACAAGTGGGTTACCTTTAAAGCATTCGTATCAGCCTTAAAGTGCACCTGTACATGACCTCAAGAGTGAAGAAAATGAAAATTTATAACCCGCTTGCAAAATTAGCCCCTGGTACATGAATTTCTATAAAATCCGACAGAAATGTTATTCGAGGTTTACAAGCACCCACATACACCTCCCGCATAAAGCAAAGCAGTAGCAACGATTTATAGGACCAAGATATGACCGTTTCGTTCTGAGGCTTCGCCTATCTAACCTGCGCCTTAGCACATGAGGAAGATCAACTTAGACTTTTCTCGTCAATAGCACTCGATGAATTGAAGCCAAAAAGATAATCAACATTTGAAAGGTGCTCAAGAGTTAATCCATCGGAACGGCATCACACTAGTCCGTTAGTTTAGCAGTTTACGATCGCACTTGGCCGAGATGTCTCTCCAGATGCCGAATGACTTGACGGCATTGGTGTACGACGTCTGAGATCCATCGATAGTATTCGTGTAGACGATCTGCATAGCATATGTCAGAGCCCATATTGAACTTTGTTGAGGCTTCCGCTATCCACCCTTAGGAGTTAGTTCGTGGATTTAGGTCTATAGTTGGGTCGCAAATTGAGTCTCACGCACCATAAGCCTTTTTATTTTGATTGTCAGTTTCATAGACAGTTGATCGCAATTGACGGATATGCCAGGAGAAATGCTTGGAAGCCTTACATCAGCATGAATTCAGCCTTGCTCACCTCATCGTGTTAACAAAATTCTTTACCCCCATATTGAAGTGGGAATACCATAGCAGAGGGCAAGTCATGCAACCCCTGCAAAATGAACCTTTTCGCTGCCCCAATCGATTGAAGATATAACACAGCACTTTAACATCTTGGTGACCACATTAGAGGGGCCATAAGTGATGCCCTTGGTCGCTTCAAAGAGCCATCGAATAGAACAAGGCAGAAGACGCCATTGATCGGGTTGGAAAAGTTGAGACAATGGTCGTGATTATAGGGCTCCTCTACCTGAGGCTAAGGTAGCAATGGGAATAAAGAAGCGCTATAACGCTTGATGGCAAGGCATTTGTACTACGTTCTACGGGCTAC